CGACACAGTTGCAGTGTATGTGGGTTTATCTCGCAAAACACACATATTTTCACTTTATTTATATTGCACACATTCCATTTAATTTAAGTTTTTTACAACCTGCTCCGTTTTGCACTTTTTCCCCTTACCTCATTTCTTTGAATCTTCGGGTACCCCTCTGGTGGCAGTTTGGCCGAGTTGGGAGTGAGAGCAGGTTGGTTTGTCATATCATTATCAAGGCATAAGACGGGGAGAGTGAGTGACTGACGGTGATACAGGACCTCCACGGTGTGAAGAGAATTTTGCGACAGGACGTATCGGCCAGACTCGAGCCGCGTCACAAACCAGCCTGTCAAGTTGTCGAGCTCCTGTCATTCAAATGCACAGGCTGCACTGAAGACACACTTGGCCTTTTCTATTGTGGGAGTCTATTGCAGACAGTATTATTTTTTTAATCATTTGAGATCTTCACAACTGAGATTTCTGCCTTCTGTGTAGCTCCACTGCTCCACGGGAAGAGGGGAAGAGATGAGGTGCATCTGCTGGATTGTTAAAGACGATGGAGGCCGAAATATGATTAATACAGCTTTTAAAGTAATGATGGTATAAAAGTATAATGAAATCACCTAAATCAAAGGTTTTCTCACAAAGCTACATTCCTTTCTTCCTAAAATAGGGATCCCTCCTGCTTCTTAGGTGTTGGGCTGTCCTGTAGATTATTTTTAATTACTACTAGACTGGTTACAACTAAAAAACAGTTTTCAAATTTGAAAAAAGTACTTTTGGCTATCAAATTTTAAAGCGCTAATAAACATGTCCCCTTTTAGTCCAATTTGTGGGAGTTACTTGATCTAAACACTAATGACTGGTTCAGCTCCGTCTGGATGTCTAATAAATTCTTTCACCTTTAGTAGCTGTCTGGATTGTTTCTCCAGTTTGCCGCGGCAATTACCTTCCTCTCTGTCTCCATTTCCTCTCCCGCCCTCGTACACCCACTACCTCCCTCTCTGTCCCCCCTTAGAGAGAAACCCGAGGAGATAATGGAAGATCACCTCAAAGGAATGGCATCGATTTATTGCTGAGACCTGATGATGAACATGCACACACACACACGCAAGCACACACAGGGATTTAGTCTGAGTGAGTCATGCTGATGCACTCGGAGCTTATTGCGGCTCTCAAAGCCAATGCAAGAAATGCATGTTCAGGTATGACAGACAAAAGAAGAAATTACATGCAGAAGCCGTTATTGGATTTATTCTAAACATTATATACCCTTTTGAATATGTTGTGTTGTAATAAATTGGACTATTCAGCTAAAACAAGTGTCAAAAGCCTAAATAAAATGCAAAATAGTGTGCCTTGCATATTCAGTGAACGTTGCAGTGGCCATAATATTCTACTAAATTCAATGGTTTTCATTTTTCTCTATTTTGTTGAGGTTGTCTTATGAAAACCCACGAGATCAAGTAAATAATGAATGGTAATAGGTTTGGAAGCAGGACTGTAGCAGAGCCTGTGGGTATGAATGGCTCATTCTGAGCAAACAAAAACACAAGACTTTGTTTTAGGTGATTATACAATAATGTAAACAGTTATGCTCATTTTTGCTAGTAGAACCCACAAACTTCCACAAATGTGTTATTTATCTGGGCCTAGAACCCCTCTGAAATCAATTATCTCCCAGTGTAGTTTCTCTAGATGGCATCTCCAGCATCCAACAACTCCATAAGTAGAGTTCTCCTTAATCAGGCTGCTTCCTCTCCCTTAGATTTCGACCTACGGGACATTACAGAATCAGGGACACAATGTCTGAAAGCTTTGCAAAAAAAAAATAGTTCATGCATTTATTACGTCTTAACTAGATTAATGCCTTTATCCTTCCTTATTCCGTATTAAGCTGCGCTAATAAATCTCTTAAATGCCTCCATTTGATCCAGAATGCTGCATCATGTGTAATAACCAACAAAAACAATTACTCCATTATGGGATTTACTGAGCTGGCAGTAGAATTTAAAATCCTTCCCCTCACTTACAAAGCCACTAAATGGTCGGACACCATCATATCTTAAGGAGCTTACAGTGCCACGCAACCCACTGGAGAGCTTAATAAGGGGTTACTTGTAGTTGCTGGAGTCTCAAAACGTGTGATGACAGCCAGAGCGTTTAGTTATTAAGCTCCTCTTCTATGGAACCAGCTTGGAGTTTCAGCGCGGGGGGGCGGACACGCTCTCCACGTACAAGAGCAGGCTTGAGGCCTTTTAACTGTGCTGACAATCAGGCCTGCCTCAATTTGTCCTCTTACAGCCGGTGGAGATGCTGCTGTGGGCTTCTCGACGGATGCACTGAGCTCCCCCGTCTTTTTACATTTTGGGCCATACAGATTAAACGTGGTAACTTACAGGCTAAAAGGTGTATTTCCTAGCAAATGTTGGACTGTATGCAAACAACTTTTCCCTGAAAGTTCACGCGATTTAGTAAAGATGCATCGGCCTGCAAGAGAATCACGTCATGGTTATTTTGTGTTACCTCATTAAATTGGAGTTGACATTTAAATGCTTCCATGGAGACGTTTCACTTTGCTCAATTCATCTGAAGGGTTTTTTGCCCACATCCAGAAAATAACAACTTACAAAAAACAACTGTCCTCTTGAGGAAGCTGCAGTGACGTCAGGGATGTGATGTTTCACTGTGAGCCACACGATGAGCTCCATTCAGACAGGATTAGTGTCTGCAGAGGGGTCGTCGTGGGGTCAGGTCCTTTCATTTCAACAGTACTGATATTATACCACGTCACCTTCAACCTTCAAGACACTTCGGCTCCAAACCCATAATGGGTGGAGACAAACTAAAAGGCTCCAGGGATTAAAGCTGCTCATAACGGCGTGCCGTGCTGAGTGAAATGGACAATTGACAAAATGTGCAAGTCTTTGCTGAATTTGAAACGGGCACCCTCAAGACATCAGCTCAAATCCTTAGAGAATGAGCTGCTGGCACCATTTGCTGCTCTGCCGTTTGCCAATTTGTTCATGTGAAAAGGTTTCAGACTGTTTCTCTGATGGTGGTTGAAGATGAAGATTTTGCAGTTGCCACCTGAGCTTCTTTATTTGGCTGAATATTTGTGTTTATCACCACTCTAATGCAACGTTTTGGTTTGAATATGTGAAACTCTGGAAACAGCAGCAGCTGAAAGCGTCTTCCCACTAGTTGATTTGGATACTGTGTTTCAAACAATCTCCATTATCTAAGACGTTGATTCCTATAGCAGATGACCACAGATGTTCAATGCATCACCCAGAGAAACTGATGCTGTCTCAATGGGGTCAGACATCCGTATTCCCGGAAATGTTAAAACTTAATATTTATCAGAACTGAGGATCAAAGAATTTCATTTATTAGGAGAGTCCACGCTTCAGCGCTTTCATCTGCTTGATCAAAAGATGTCTTATGAAACCTTCAAAAATGAATATTTGTGAGTGTGTGTGTGTTTGTTTGTTTGTGTCCAAACTTTTGACTGGTACTGTATGTATGTATGCAGTACAGAGCTGTGATTAAATTACATTTGTTATGTCATGTCCGCGCTTTAAACACACTACACCTACACACAGCACCTTTAAAAAGAAACGATTCTCCCTGTTTAAGGAATTTTGTAAAGATGTAGACTCTTTTTTTCTCCAAAGAAAACATATTATTAAAATTGTCAGGTTTACACTTTTGGGGTTTCTACTAAAACATATTCATAAGCCTTAATGTAAAAAAGAAAAACAGACTTTTATCATATTATCTGATCCTTCCCCCTTCCTGAACAAGCCCAGTGTGCTCTGATTGGCTTGCTAGAAAATGATGCTGCACCTTTCGCAAAACTGGTTCTCTGGGTGGAGAAGCTCCGATGGGAGCGGTATATGCTAATGAGCAGGCCTAATGAGTCTGGGACGGGGAGGCAAATCTTAATGGCTTTTTGAATCCCAGGTTTTCTGATCTCGGCAACAGACAAAAAACATCCTGAATTGTCTCATTTTGCAGTCTGTGGGTCTGCAGGCACTCTGGATCACCCAAATATATATGCAAATCATTGAGACGTGGAGTTTTACCTGATATGGCCCCTTAAAATTACAACGCTATACGTGTAAAACTACATTCATACGATGATTTGCTACCAGGGGGCTGCAGAGCTCCACAACAAGCTGACAGACATTGAGATAATGTCGGCGAGAGCAAGAAGACATTCATTGTCCTTTCGTGTTTGTGTCCACGTGACGACCCGCGTCCACCTCTTCTTCTCTTTCCTCACCAGCCACTTGCTAATATTGTCTCGCCGCTGTTTGTTGCTATAGGCGAGACGTATTTAATGGTTTTACCACAGCTAGTTTTCTCAAAAATAAGCTTCCCGCAGCTTGAAACAGGATTTTGTGAGAACGCTGATACCATAATGTAAAAGTGCCATTAAACCAAACTATATGCTTAAAAACGTCCAAAACAGCTGCACGGCGTGTGTGGCGATAACCTGCACGATGTGCAGCTAGTGACAGCTTTCCTGCTGGAGCGGTGTCAGCGGTGCATGAGGTCTGTTTGTGTTATTCCACTCTGTGTCTCTCTCTAGGGCTGTGCACTCTGCTGCTTTAAGTGTGAACAATTATTAATAATCTGTGCTTCAGTTTACGCCGGTCTTTATCCCTCTGCACAGGGGACCTGCTGATTGCAGCATTGAGTTGTGTCTCAGGAAATGTATTCAAAACGGGAACAAATGAAATACACATTCATTTGGTAAAAAGAGGAAACGGCAGAGGGGAGTGAAGGTGTGCAAATGAGATGGTAAGGTGTGTGCCTGCGTGGGTTTTGTGTATCCTATTCTGCAAAGCGCAAAAGCCTCGAGCTGAAAAAAATCTGCAGGTTTGCAGAGAGACAGAGAAGAAAACCCCCCGGCTGTGCATCGTTGCATTCGATTGCCTTGCACGCAGTCGATGCCGACAGAAATAGGTTGACATTTGACCTTGAAAGTGAAATAATTCTGACATTTCAAGATATATTTCCCATTTATATTTATATTTTACATTTATATTCACTATTGCTTGAAATTGCTTGACAATTCATACATAATTTGAGGAAAACACATTGTTGCCAGGAAAAAACAATCATGTTGTAGAGCTTGAATCCTAATTCGTATGTAATCTTTCTCCCTCACTATAACAATAACAAAACTAAAACACAGCGTATGTGCATGAGACTTCATTTCACTCGTGCTGCCTGAAAATCGCATTAACATTATTAAGGTTTCAATGTTCATAACTTGAGAAGGGTCGTATTTGGCACGCTCAACATTAGCTTACTTATTATGTAGTAACTTGCTTGCCTCCACACAATTATTTGTTGAAGAAAAAAAACTACCTCATAACTATTGTCCGAATACTACATAGTAGCTATCTATTGTCCCCGATGTTGTGTAGTGAAACACAACACACACAGGACAAAAAAACAAAACAATAATACAATCTTATGCCCCACTGAATTGCCAATCCAGCAGGCGGGTCCGTGCTTTTCATCCCATCAGAGAGGGTTCTCTCTGGATCCTCTTCCTTCTTGCCCCAGTCCAGAGAGACATGCAGCTTAGCTTGATCGATGACTCTGAATTGGCCGTCGGCCCTGGAGAGTCTGGTATGGTGAACCCTGCCTTGGCCCAAAGTCAGCTGGGATCCACTTTGGCCCCCGCATGTGGCTGAACAGGACAAGCAGTTAAATTGATTTTTTTTTTATGTGATGGGATCTACTGACTAGTTGGAAATAAATCTCTGAATTGGATTGCTGTGCTTCGGGTGTTTTAAAAACGTCTTAAGCCGGTTTGTTTTTCCCTGATTTCATTCTATTCAGCTTAAGAAAACCTCTGCATCACTTATCCAATAGATCACTAATAGATTATAGTTTCATAGTCAAGGTTGGGTATTGTGAAGGCAAAAAATGAATCAGGGTTTTGTTACATCGGAGGCTCATTCGACCTTACCTGCATAGCACAGTTAAACACATTAAATAAACTGCTCATAGTTTCAGTATTTTATGGACTAATTGTTATGGGCCAGAGGGAATCTTGAATTAAACTGGTGGTCAATTACTGTCTGCAAAAACAAAGATCATCTACATAAGCTGTGTATCTATGACTCTTTGTGCAGCTTTAGTGCTCCCTTGTGGTGACAGAAAGTACTGCACAGGCCATTCAACAGGTCCAAATAGGAAACAGGTCCAAGGAAATAGCAAGAGCAGCCACGTGTTCTATGCTGTACAGCGTTATGTTGTGTTTTTGCCCTCTGTTGTTGTATTGATGACATTTACAATAGATCAATATATTTCCTAGTGTTTTCAGGTCACCTGCGCACTAGGGGGCCCGACAGCAAGAAAAGACTTCACACACCGTTCACATATCGGAAGAGATTTCTGCCTCTAGATATGATTCAGAATTGTACAACCGATCAAAGGTTACCTGATAATACACGGTGCTGGGGAGTTACGCCAGCTATGGGACAATGTTCCTGCAGGGGGCCCTTGACAGAAAAGTAAAAGAAAATACAGCCAACATTTTAAAGTCAGGTCCTGGGTATAAACTTATAATTTGATCTGCTCAGGCAGCAGACTGAAAGGAAGTGAGGTGTTGATGGTTCGCTCTGACTATTCCTGTGACAATAGGTCAATGATTTAATGCCTTTGTACAATAATTATTGAGTAACCAGGTATGTGTATATACCAATGCACGAGGGGCTGAATTACAATAACATATGTACTTTTTATTGGAATTGACCTTTTTAGTATATTTGTCTTTATTATCATCGTTCCGCCGTCTCTTGGCGTATGGCGCCCCCTGCCGTCGCCCTTGGTCCGCTCACACCATCTGAATCACTCACAACAAACACACGAGAGCTCAACACACAAAAAGAAAATTACACAGTAGCGTAGCTAAGGTAAAGTACTGGTGAAACAGCGCATGCATTATTTGTAACGATAACCTATGATGTTTTAAAAAGTTTTTTTTTATTATAGAAAAACTCCCGGGTCTCCTGCTTCTTCGTTAGGCGTGAGTCCGCGCATGCGCTCTGCCGCCCGTGTCCGTCAGGGCGGTGATCTCCCTCCCGCCCTCAAACACGCGCTCTTTGCTTAACTCTCTCTATCACTCTCTCTCTCTCTCTGTGGGAAAACCCGAGCAGGAGGAGAGCAGCAGAAAGGGGAGGAGGCGGACTCCTTCTTCTCCGTCTTCTTCCGATACAGCGGCGGCAGGATATTTAGAAAAATAAATAAAAAAGAAATCCACGCACACCCCCCCCTCCCCTCTCTCTTCCCCTCCCTCCCCCCTCCCACTTCACACTCCACACTCCCTCCGCCGTGGAGCCGCAGAGCAACAAACACACACACACACACACTCGCGCGCGCGCGCACAAACACACACACGGATGTGCCTCCGAAAGAGCAGCGGATACCGCCCTCCGGACCTTATTAATGCCAAGATTGTGAGTATCCGATCGGCTGCGGAGAGGAGCTTGAAGGCGGGGAGGGAGGGGAGGACGCGGGGAGAGGAGGGGGGGTCCTGGTTCCAGGTTCCAGGTTAATTTCCCCTTCCCTCGTCCCCCAGTCGGCGGGCGGCTTTTCTTTTCTTTTTTCTCTCACTCTCTCTCTCTCTCGCGCTCCGCGCCGTTGAGGTAAAGGTCGATCTCCGTGATTCCTTACCTCACCTCCTTTCCTCACCGTACCTCCTTGAGTCCTTCTCTCAAGAACGGGAAGCGGACGAGGCAATGGGGCAAAAAAAAAAGAGAATTATTTTGAGCTGTGTTTCAGTGTTAATTGTTTCTGAAAATATACGTATGTATTCTAACGTGTTTTTTTCCTACAGCCTTGAAGCGTTCTTCGTTTTCACGTCGGGAAAGAGAGTTTAGGGCGCTTCACGCTCGCGCTGTTGATGACCGTGGTGCGTTCAGGGTTCACAGGGGACAGCGGGTTCATAGACAACACCGGTCAGCCGTGACAAATATCTAACTTTGCTCAATCTGTGTATTTCCACTTTGAATTTACTTTGACCCCTTTTCTTGTTTCTGTCAACCAGCACTTTATTCTTTATCTGCTCACATGTGAGCACGCTAAATTCAATAAAAGGAGCCTATCCCACTTTTGTTTTTTTCTATTAGCTCTGGTCCAATTCTTCCCAGGCGCAATGTGCATTGCAGTGTTGACAGTTGTGGTGTCAGTGATTTGGTGGATGTTTTTAATGGAGATACTTTCGTGTGTTGCGTTCTAACAACCTGCAAAGGGTTCATTAATGCATGGCCATCCTCAAAGGCGTGAGCAAATGGTTTTTATTATGAGTATTAGTGTTTTTGCAACTTCATCCATGATGGATGAGCTTATTGTTAATGTTATGCTGTTGTATTTTTTTTTTTTTTTAGTGTGGTCTTCTGGATGAGAACAATTTGCTCTGTGTGGGATCATAAAGTTTTCATTAGCCTCGTAGATGATCAGCTTCTAGTGCTTCATCCAGAACAACTCCTGGCTGGACCTGATTATTTTGTTATTGGTTGATGCGTCAATTTAAATGTTTTGGGAATTGTTTTATTTGCACTGGGGCTCTGATCTGATACCCTGCTGGAGAGATGCTGTGTAATGCGGGACTTTGAGTTACGTCAAAAGCAGATCAATTTAAAGCCCTCCTGCTGGTCAAGGCGCATCGCAGGCCAAAGCTTTGAACGCTGGTTGATGGTTGCTGTTGATCTGCCGCCGCAGCTTAAGATGTGTTTTTTTTGGGGGGATGGACAGTTTTCGCAAATACAAATGTAGGCATTCAGTGCAAAACTCACCGGCTGCATCCCGTGACATTTTACACGTACAATGTGATTACAGCAGTGAGCAGCCAGTTCCCATTGGATGCGTTGAGCACTCGTTGTTACGTTCCACACTGTTGCTTAAACCACATGAGGAAATTGACCTGGCTCGTACTGGCGGTTCAGATTGTAACGCGTATTGGATTCACAAATTGGCTAAGCAACAAGAAAAAAGGGAGCAGATCAAATAGTTGTTTTCTTTTTTTTGTTGCCCTAAATAACTAAATCCCCGGCTATTTGTGGTCCATGTTGGCAGACACGGTTCCATTTGTTTTTGTTTATAGCAGCTGGTCTACGAGGCGCTGTTCCTTTCAACTGCTAAACTAAGTGTAATCCATTAAATTCCAAATGTTTAAAAAAAAAAGTTTAATTATGATCTATTGGACGATTCTATTTTCATTGATGAAAACAATCTTGTTTCTCGTAGTTTTAATGATGTTTCACAACGGGTCAAAATTCCCTCTCCATTCATGCTGTTTTTTTGCTGTTTACATTTTTACACACTTTATATGCTAATTCAACTCTGACCAAAACTACTTTTTACGAGATTACATCATAGTAACGTTACTTTAGACCACCACACACACACACACACACACACGTACACACACGCACACACACACACACAACGCATCTGTGATTTATTACTTTCATTTTCTGCTCTCCAACTATGTCATCTGTTCTGAACCGAGCTCTCTGCTCGGTTGAGAGGAAGAAAACAACAAGAATGGGTCATGTGCATTATTTCCATGGCTGCGCGTCCTTACGAGCCGTGAGCGATGCAGAAGTGTAAACGGCTGAACTTTTGTCAAACGTCCCGTTTCTATTTATTCCCATCGTTCCGTTTCCTTCTCGAAGTCGTGTTCGCCGGACCTCCTCATTTTGCTACCGAAGCGTAGACAGGCGGCGCCGTGGAGGGACCAAGGTAGCTATGCATCTTCTTCTTGTGGTTTTGAAGGTCATTTCTTTATTGAAAATGGCAAAAGTCATACGACTGCGTGTGCTGCTCCCCCATCACTTTTCTGTTTTTTTTGTCTCCATTCCACATTTGTTCACACGACGTAACGCACCGCGCCGCCGACCTCTCACTCTCCGGCCAAGTGGACGCCGTCGCTACGGTTGTTGCTGATTTATCCCCCCGTTCTACACCACCTGACGTTGGTTGGGTCACGCGCCCTGTCGCCGCTGCATGCGAGGCACACGGCCTTTCTTTTCTTCTTTTTTTCACAATCCAACATACGCTTTTGTATTTGATTAAAGCGCCCTATCAGCTGTTAAGGTTCTTTACTTTTCCTACAGTGTGTTTGTGCTTTTGTGAGTTCACAGTGACCTTGCCGTAGTCGATGGCGTGTTTATGTATAAACTGACACATGCTTCTCCCACAGCAGGCCAGTAGCAGTCTCGTTGTTTACCTTATCTTATATAACATAACAGTGGGGTCGGTCCGTTCCAATCGGGACTCATGATTCCTATTTCTGCTCATATAAGGTGTCTCGGATGGTTAAGAAAGGCAGAAATGGTGTTTTACAACCTTCACTTGGTAGTAAATGTCGTCCTTCACTCTGGATTACTTTGGGTGAACTCATTGCGCAGGACGTTGCTTTACAAACTGGCCAGATTTGTTTTCCTTCTGTTTCATATTTGTTCCGAGTACGTGGAATTGCTGGCTAACTCCTCCTGAAAGAGAAGTGAGTTTGTTCGTAGTTGCTTTGTTTTTTTTCTCTGGTTCTCTGATCAAACCAAGCCGATGGAGCAGAGTTTGATTAAACGAAAAAAATGCCCTCAGAAATCCCAGTCATATTTGTTATTGTTCTCTTAGTAGCTGAGACACTCATTTTCTACCTCGCCGTGTAAATCAAATCAATAGAATCGGCTCTAAATAAAATACATCTTTGGCTAATTTTGCGGCACCGACCCTGACATTAAGAAACACACGGACAAAGGTCTACGGTTCTTTTTTCTTTTTTTTTAATGATTGCGTTGTCAGTTTGTTCACACATCCTCTTTCTTCATTGTGTCTGTTGCATATTTCCTCTTTTTTTGTTTTAGTTTTTTTGAAGTTGTCTCTCTCTTGCTGTCAAAGTGTTGATCATTTTGTTTCTGCCACACATGGTTGTGTTTGTGTCTTTGCCTTGTCTGCGTGACAGGGTGTCACTCTTTTTTAGCTATTTGATCAGAATTCCCACAGACGTTTAATTTCCAGCATACTTTCCATTGATTGACCACCACACATTGTTGAGGTCACCAAGTGGAATTAATAAAGGATCTCATCAAGAGGTCTCATGGAGGCCAACGTTGTTCCTCTAATAATGTAAAATCGCTCAACAAAAAGTCATTTTCTTTTCTTGAGGCTGTAGATAATCTGAAAACGGACTGCAACATTTTTTATTTCAATTATTTTCCTGTTTAGAATAATTTGGCCTATAAAATAACCTTTTGGCAAATTCAGAATCCCCCAGTTGTCACAGATGCCGGCTCCAAACGTGACAAAAAGAAGTTTAATTGTGGTAAAAAACCCAGCAGGGTCTCCGTCAGTTGCAGCTTGGATTGATATATTTAATAAAATGGAAGCGTATCTGTTATGCAAATTCCTTTGCCATAGCAACCAATTTGTAGATTTCCGTTGAGCATTTAGTTTCGTCAGCTGGACAGTGGAGTGTAAGAGCCATTGAGTGGCAGTTTAGAAACACAACGGTGGCTTATTTGTTTTCTCAAGTAATTATTAGTGAAGGACAATTATTCCACCAGCCCGAGTCATCTTTGATGGGAAAAGCAGCGACCTTCCAATATCTGGCAACGGAGTCCTCGCGTAACTCTTTATTAGATCGTCTTGTTCCTCAGAAGGTCAGAAAGACGAGTTCATGGAAGAACACGCTGGTTCGCTTCTTCTTTCACTGAGTAAAACCTGTGATTCATGAGAACGTGGCTTCCTCACAGCCCCGTGAGACAGATTGAGCGTCGTCTGTACTTAAGGTGACAGGTGAAAAGTTGCTACACACACACACACACACACACACACTTACTATGGCTTCTTTTCTCCTTTTTCGTGTGTGTGTGTGTGTTTTCAATTGCGTGTGTCCATCGTTCATGTTTCTGTGGTAACATGGATTTTATTTAGATTTTTGGTTGATGACTGAATTTTCTTTTTGGGATTTCATACATATTTGTGAATGACTGTATGTTTTCGTAATGCGTTTGCATTGTGCTTGTTTGTGCTTTGGTTTGGCGTCTTCACATGCACGTTCATTTTTGCATTTTGCGCATGTGTGTGTGCGTGTGTGTGTATGAAGGAGGGGTCCGAGGCAGAAAGGGGGATGACATGCATGCGTCCGGCCTGCTAACGTCGCTGACTCCTCACACACTAACCGACAGCCCGCCCTCGCCACATGACGGACGTACTGGTAAACCATCTCTTTGTGTCTCAAAACATTTCTTTGTTTACCTGTCTGGCAAATGATCTTATCTGCCATAAAAAGAACCGGCTAAGAGCAATAATCGACCGTACCAATGCTGATGCGGCCTAAAAACTAAAAAGTAACGGCAAGTCCGTGAGTTTATGAACTGATCAAATGTCATGTTTTATTATTAATTGGCTTATCCGCACTCACAGGAACAAAAACACAAGACTCACTACCTGATCTATTATATACTGCTCTATTTGTACTGCACATGTGCAAACTTGTACTAGGAAGTACCGGTCCGCGTTCGATGGGCTCGGTTTGGCGAACCAACGATTTGTCGGCGTAATCCAACTAACGTGCAGTTTATCTGTACTGTTGAGATGAGTGTCAACCTGACAAATCCAGGATCAGTCCTCTGGGCTCAAAATGAATTCCCTATTAACTCGTTGTCCCCCTTGTTTATCTCTGGATCATTTAGTCAACAACAAATAACCGCTACGATGCGTCGGCCTCGGCAGGCGTACCGACTGACTTCAGCACACCGTTACACCCCTATGGTGTAGCAGGAAGCATCACTGCCTTTTGAAATGTGGGTGTCCAAACAGACAACCACACCCGGAAGTACCCAAAGTGTACACACATGGGGGGGTTTGGACACACCAATGTTCTTTTCTCGTCTCCTTCACTCTGAAAGAATGCGGGAGAAAGACACGGCTGAGCGGTGAAGAGACATCGCTGTGTGTGTGTGTGTGTGTGTGTGTGTGTGTGTGACACCCGGGGCATTAATACTGCTACGCAGTCAGATTTATAGAGTTTGGTGTTCTTGGCAAAAGAGCGTCGTTGACAAGTCCAGACTGCACCCCACAGGTGTCCAAGGTTGGAGGGAGAAGGAATGTAAATGTTTCTCCCCTTTTTTAAGCCGCCCTCGGCATGAATGGGCCCTCGCAGACCCGGCGGGTCGGGCCGCTGTGCGTGGGCGCGCGTGTGTAGACGCCACGGCTGATTCATCAAGTTTCAGAAAGAAACCAAGAAGCCACGTGTGTCACAATACCTCCGTCTCCGTTTCCTGCCCCTCTCTCTCTCTCTCTCTCTCTCTCTCGCTTGCTCTCGCTCTGTTTTCCTGTTGCATTGGACTGTCTTCCGTCTCTCTTTACTCCTTTTACTGGAGCGAATGCGTGTTGATTGATGGAAACGTCGTAGCCTTCAGCATAAGAGCGCGAGAAAACGAAAGGAAGAAGCCGCCAGTTCTCTCGTCCGCTCATCCGTCCTCGTTCTGCCATCATTGAATCGACTCGTCCCCGGTGAGCTTTGCTGCTGAATGGCGTCCGCGTGCTGCTGCTTCCATGTGCCGGTTACTCAACGGGGCTCTTCTTTTTTTATTTTCCGACTTTGTAGCTCAACGGATGGAGCAAGGCAGCACCAGTGTTGGTGGTTTGAGTCCCTGTTGCACTTGGTGTTTGATGATGGGGGGGTGTCAGACTAAGCGCTTAGGATGCATGTGGAAGGACGGCTGTGGTGGTTGTTTAGGAGGTTCTCTGTCGTCTTTGGGGAGAAACTCTTTCATCACTGCGTTTTAGACGAACCTGAAACTGGAGTCATCGAGCTTTAAGCAAGACGGTTTGTCTCAGTTCCTGAAGTGAGACATCTTGGGGAAATGCAGTTTGCCTTTTTTTGACTGATGATTGAGACAAAACAAAAAAAACCTGAATTTCCCAAATGAGAGTTTCAGACACATTCCACCCTTTTCAGGCACGAGTTCATTATGGTTTATCTTGATCACATGGCAATGTTCTTGTTTTTATACGAAAAAACTGGGAAATAATACAGTAACAATTTCAAACTTCTGGCAATTTTTTAGTCTGCCAATTTCCTAATGCAATACGACTTGACATTCGGATGTTTTGTTCTGATTAGGCATCTCCGCAACATATGACCGTATGTGTTTTAACGTTTATTTTTACTTTTTCGGGCTGCAGCTTACAAGGACTTTCATTACTGGCTCATTTGACAACTGTTTTCACTCACATTTGGAAACCTTTTTTTTGGTCTAAAACAAATGTATTAAACCCGAGGTGATCGCATCAAACATAAAAGCTGCAGCAAAGTAGGCCATTTGTACTTAATTCCACTCTGCCACAAGTCGTATACAAGAGCACATGGTTCTGCAGAGCTCTAATCAAACTGCACCATTGTCGGATTTAACATTAAAATGTACAGAATTGTCTTCATCTCAGAGCGAGCCCACCCGGCCCCCCTTGGAGGGGCTGAGGTGGGCGGACACACCCACCACAGTAAAGTGCTGCAGGTGAACGTGTTGGAGGAATGATCCAAACTATGTTGCTCGGCCCCCCCCCTTCCCTCCCTTTCCTCCCCCGACGTTTGAAACCTCCAGCTGGATGGTGGCGTTCTGATCGGGTCGAACTTTGAAGTCTGCGAAAATGATGCGCTGAAAGGATTAGTTCACCCAAATGATAAACGAGCCACAGATGGAGTTCTGTTACGACTTGTCTGCTTCCACCCGCAC